TTCCTCATTGCGTCCTTCGTTAAAGCTTAAACATGGAGGGCCTTTTCTGCACCACATCAAGCCATGTATTCCTCCAAACTATTTTAGTCACACTGTGCCTATGCTAGCTAGGACTCTGTGCCTTTTTATCCTGCCCTTGAAACCCTGCGTAATGGCAGGATCACACAGACCACTTAAACCTCAATCATGTCTCCTTCCAACCAGGCACAGGGGAGTCTGTGTCACACTGACATCAGCTTCCTTCACACGTCACTCCTGTCTGTTGCCAAGGAGAATAATTTGGCTGGTCTTGAGCTATCTGAAGAGATAAAGGGGCTTTAAGCATGTATGGAAAAGAGAAATTTCCCCCTGCCCCCCAAAAAAAGAAATTCCCAGAGGACACACAAACCATGCACAGGGATGGGGGTGGGCAGTGTCAGTCCTGCCCAAGGAATCCCCTTCTGTGCCCTTATCATTCCATCATCATCATCACACTCTCAGGAATTTCTGAATCAATCGTTATGCCTGCCAGGGGCTAGGCTCTGTGTAGTGCAAAGAATCAGACCGACAAATCCTCAGATTAACACTAAATAATTGCTGCTTTCTTGGTTGAGACACTGTGTACTTTCTCCTGTCCTTCCTTCTGTAGCAGAGCAATGCATCCAGCCTCATGGCTGCCACTTGTTTAGAGCCTGAGATGGACTGACTAATCCTGCATGAATCACTCATACACAGGGCATGTGCGCAAAATGCTGGCCTTTTCCCTGATTGCAAGCCCAGGCAGTAAGTAGCACTTCAGAAAGGACACTATGGTGGTGGTAGAGCAAAGTCGCAGGAGGAAACGCTTTGGAGTCACTCACCTGCACTCTGACTGCCGGTTCTACCTCTAGCTACTTATATAAACCTGGGTTATTTTCATGATTTTACAGCCAGTTTCTTCTTCTGAATATGGGATAATAGTAGTGTCTACTTTAAAAGGTTGAGATGTGCAGTACAGGAGCTAATGCATTTAATGGATTTGGTACAGAGTGACTGGCACACAAAATAATAAAAAATAACACTTGTAATGATTTTTAATTTATTATGACTATTGAAAGATCAGGATATGGCAGAAGACTCAGCAAAGGAGACTGAGAAGTGCACACCAAAAAGGTCAGGGAGGAGGGAGCTGAGAGAAGGGTGTCATGGAAACTGAGAGAAAAGATGCCAGGAAGGAGCGAGATAATACCAAAGGGCATTGGGAGGCCTGTTTCTTCTGACAAGAGTGATTTTCACCCCTTAGTGACCAATGAGAAGAAGAAGGAAGAAAATAAGCCTATAGCTTGAAATCAAGGGTAACAGCTGTAAAATGCCCTAATGGTCTCCTTTTGGCTAATCCCACTAATCTGATCTGAACACACAGACATTCAATTAGAAAAAAGTACTTCTTGAGGAAAGGAAAAGCAAATGTCGCACAAAATGAACAAAAAGAAATGTTACAGCAGGTCAAGGAAATGCAATTTTCAAAAATTTCAAACACACACAATAGAGCAGAGGATAGGAAGACTGAAGAAAAGCGGGATGGATCACCAAACAGGTTTTCCAAGCAATGGTCTGCACTGAACACCCCTGCTAACTCCAGGGAAAAGGAGAGTGCCAGTGTGGATGGAATGTGTTTATTTTTCTACTCTACCTGGTACCAGAAAGAAATGATGGCGGCACATTCTGGGTCTTTGGGAAAATCATTCAACAAGTGTTTACAGAGTGAAACAGATACAAATAAAACCATTTTCTAAACTGGACTCGATATTGGCATTAGAAACCCCCGAAGCACAGATTTAGGGAAGGGTAGGGATGAGTTAGGTTTTAAAATTCTATGCAAGCTGAGAGATGTTAGGGGCTTCTGTAGCTTTTGGGGATTAACTTGAGTTGCCTCCTTCCTGGGGGTGCAGGAGTTGTTCCCTTCAGCTCTGGAGAGATCTAGGGGGCTTCCAGGGGCACAGAGGTGTCCTCTTGATATTTTTCCCTGGGTTGGAGGCAGAGGAGCTATTCTTCTAGTGATGAGAGGTAAGGAGGCTGAGGATTTAACCAAATATGGAATGTTGGAGTAGGAGAGAGGAGGGCAGAGTAGAGGAAGTAGGGCCTCCACATTTGCTACCAAAAGACAGTGTAACCCAGGGGAGTGGGGGAGGGTAGTCAGTAAGGTCAGATTGTGGATGGCGAATGGAGCTGGAGCAGGAAGCCAAGGCCAAGCTGAAGGGGTACTTCTGAAAAGAGAAGCAGTTCAAGCTAGGCTCTGGGCCTAGCCACTTACTCTCTGCAAGGCTTCAGGTAGCATTTGGTTACCACCTCTTCTTCAAGGTCCCAGCCTTTGTTCCCTTTGCCTCTACTGAGTGGGCCATCAACTACCAGCATAATTAGAGCCCTAATCATTTTCACTTAGACACCCCAGTCTGTGCCATCCTTTGTACAACAGCCTAGGCCTCTTTGTAAAACCCTAGCATCTGTGATTCTTACCAGGTCTCTGGGCCCAGTCAATCTTCATGTGACTCTTCCTGCTAATAGGGCCCTCAATCCTGGCCCCTGTACTGCACAGCTCTATGCTTCTCTCTAGCATACCAGCTCCCACTGCTGTATACACTGTCATAGCTCTGTGGAACCCTTATTTCCTGCATGACAAACTCAGATGTATACATTCATCTCACTCTCCACCCTTACAAGGAAGCACACCACACCCATGTCTTACTTGCAAAAATAGGAAACATAAGTGCCCTAGGGGTCTGAAGTCACATGTATCTTTTATTACCCTTCAGCTTGAGACCAGATGATGCAACAAGGGGCAGGTTTCTAGGAAGATTACTCTTTTCTTTCCCTCTTCCTTTGAAAACTCTCCACTCTAAAAAAAATGTTGTGTATGTGGTATGATAAAGAACTAAAATGAATGCTTAATTAAAATATTATAGTAAAAGATACACTGTCATTAATGTCCCTCAAAATATACCACCTTGATTTCAATACTTATCCCATCATTTTTGTCATTTTTTGAAATAGTTTTGGAGGTTCTCTTTTGTGTCTTTACAAGCTGTGATCTAAAAAAATATAGTAAATACTGCTGCCAAGTGCCACCCAACAGAAAGGCAGACTTGTGAAAAGGGCATCCTCTACCACCTTATTCACTGGGTGTGGCATTCGGTGACTTCTGGCTCTGCTCCAATGTCAAAATGACCATGAAAGGGAAACATTTCAAATTGATTCCAGATATCAAGGCAGTCAGGATAATGCAATTAAAGACACAAAACAAAACTTTCAGAACTACTTCAGAAAGTGGCAAACACTGCCTGGCAAGCACAAGGACCTGAGTTCGATCCCCAGTTCTACAAAAAAAAAAAATCCAAAAAAAAACCCCAAACCAATTTCTGGGACCAGGGAGATAGCTCAGTAGAATAAGCACTTGTGGCTGGGGAAATGGCTCAGTAAAATAAGCGCTTGCCTGGCAAGTGCATGGCCTGAGTTCAATCCCTGGTTCTGCCCAAAAAAGACTAAGCACTTGCCTGGCAAGCACAGGGTCCTGAGTTCAATCCCTGGTACCACAAAAAAAAAAAAAAGTGGCAAACACAATGAGCTAATTGTGTTCAAACTGAGGGGACATATTTTCAGGATTAATGGTAATTCATCTTTTACAGTAAGAACTTTTTTCTAAACATTGCTCTTTGCTCAAGCCTCACAGGGCTTCCTGGCTTTCTGTTTCCATGCTCTTGCTGTGCCCTGGTAACTAGACTGGATTTCCTCCCTTCATATGAAGGGATTTGAGTTGAGGTGAGATTGTGTTGGAATGAGGTGGGTTTGGCATGTCCTGTGGCATGTAACATCAGAATTTATAGGATGAGGCCTGGGCATTTTCAGGACCTGGGCCCACTGGTGCTAAGCTCCCAAGAATAGCAACTCTTTCTTTTTTCAATCATGGAGGAGACAGAGGGTGGTATTAGCCCCCAGAAGAGAAACCTTATTGTGGCCAGGATGCTGATGAGAAGGAGCAGCACAATCTAGGGAATCCACACAGATGAGGGACAGCGCCCCCTCCCCAAAATGAACAGGAATGGAGATCCTAGGATCTCTGTGCCGAGCTGTTATCCCACCACCACACTTTCTCTCCATCAGACTATTCTGGATACTTAGAAAAGAAAACATGAGTTAGAAGAAATTAGTATAGGCTATTACCAGGCATGCTGGTGCAGCCTGTAATCCCAGCACTCAGGAGGCTGAGGCAAGAAGATTGTTGTGAGTTCTGAGACCAGCTTGAGCTACAAAGAGAGTACAAGGCCAGCCTAAACTGCATAGCCAGACCCTGTCTCAAAAAGACAAAAAAAAAATTAGTACAAGCCATGATCTGGCTCAGTGAGGTAAGGGGCAAGTCAGTTGTGGGAAAGGACCCTTTACCTTTGGGGAGGATTTCAGCCCATTTCTTTCTCCTTTTCCTTACCTGCAAAATAAGGTTGAGTTTTTAAAAACTCATTTCAGAGTATGGCCCCCTTTTATAGTTTATCATATTTTTATTTGTTTCTTTCACTTCTTCCTAAAATAATACCATGAGACATTAAAGTAGATGCTGATATAGAGACATATATTTATTGACATAGAAGCCCACAACATATTTTGCTTAGTGAAAAAATACAGCATATACAACATCACTTACATTGATCATTTTTATCTGTACATATATCTATCTGGGTACATAGATATAGGAAAAACTCTAGAACATTCACCAAAGGGCTGACAATAGTTATATAAGGGTGGACAGTTTTGGGTAATTTGTATTTTACTTTTTATATTTTTCTGTATTATTTGAAGATTTAACAATGAATTGTATAACACTTTCACAAAGAGAATAAAGTCATCAAGGAAATGGGCACACACAGAAAACATACACTTAGCCAGCAGGCAGAGAGACAAAGGACAACAGTCAGTCCTTCCCCTTCTACCACCCTGATATGCCACATCCTTTCTTCTCCAGGCCCTTTGTCCTCCATTCAAAAAGAAAGCTGTTTTGTGGATTAATTCATGCAAATAGAAGTCCCCTTCTCCCAGTCACTGAACTCTAGATATAGGTACGGGGGTTCAGTGAAGGCTAGGGGGTAAGTGCTTTACTCAGAGAGGTCACTCAATGTACCAGGTCCCTCGCTTGGCCCCTCCTCCTCTGTATGTGTCAGCTCCTTCAAGGTGATGATCAGATTCTCAAAAACATGGGTCTTGTTGTTCTCACTGTCACACATTTCTTTTGAGTGGCCCTCGTCCCCACAATAAGAACAGTACATTGTATGTTTTCGTTTCCTGGCTCTACACATATCCCCAGGACCACTATGCTTATGCCCAGAACTACCACTGGCAGAAGGAGACTGACCCTCAGCACTGTCGGGAGAATCAATGACCAGCACTTGATCCCAAGATGTGGCCCTATCTCTCAGTGGTGTGGCATCAGAGGATGACAGTGGAGGGTCCTCAGGTTCTACAAGGATCACATCCTCATCTGAGTCATCAGGAGTATCATCTATCTCTATCACATTGCAGTCAACACTACCAGTAGCCATTGGTGGGGAGTCCTGAAATGCCACAGGGCTGTCTGCTCTCTCTGTCATTGACTCAGATCTTTTGGGGCGCTTCCGCTTAATAAAAGTGCCATCCCAATCCTCTTCCTCCCTTATCATTCTGATTAATTCCATGCAATTGGGAAGCTGCTCTTGCTCATTCGGATATATCTTGAGAAGACGCTTCAGCTTGTAGTACAGGTCTCTATCCAGCTCAGCCCCTACCAGGAGCTGGTGCAGGCGAGTCTGGTTTGCATCCTTCTCAGCTAGGAAGCCTGCCTGAATAGCATTCTGCAGCTGCACCTCTAAACGGATCACATAAAGGGAAGCTTTCTCCCCTTGTGCCTGTAAGGTGTTAAAAAATTTACCATGGGCAGTCACACTGCTCTCAGACTCCCCAAACACCAGCTTCATCGCCCGCAAAAAATCTGCCACACTTAGGTTGGGGTTGGCAGCCTGTAGTAATCGCATGACCTCCCGGGCAGGGCCCCTAAGGGTTTTCATTAACCGTTTGAGCTTTTCCTCCTCAGATATATTCCAATCTGGCAGGACCCCATTGACTTCTATCAGCCAGTTTTCAAAGGTTTCTTCCCCATAGACTGGCACTGCCCTCCCAGAGAACAATTTCATGTTTCTCTCTACCATGTTGGCCATCAAAGGACCAAGAGTCCTCCCCAGGGACCTCAGCATGGAATGGGCCCAAGGTGGCAAGGCTGTGTTTTGCCTCCGGCTATTACCCACATAAGCAAGGATGCTAGCCATGCCTGATGAGGACACGGTATCTGAATACAAGAAGAGGCTCAGGCTTTTTAGAAAATAAAGCGTGATCAGCAGGTGTGCAGCAGGTTCAATCTTCCTTCTATTTCATTAGACACTGTACAAAAGAAAAAAAGGGGAAGTAATTAATAAGGGAGCAGGCTACAACCACATTCTCTTCCTACCTCAAGTGCCTTCCTTAGATTTTATATCTGCCCCTGCCCAAGAAATGCTCTGCAGGAGATAATAATTACAGCATTCTGGAGCTAGCCAGCGCCCTTGCGCTAGCAGAGTGCTGTTTGCAGGTAGTCCTCCAAGAGGGACAGCAACTGTTGCTTGGAATTCTAGGTTTAACTGTGTGGAGTTGATAATTGGGCTGTCAAAATAGAGCCCAACAGTCACAGATTTGTGAACATAAAATAAGATCTCGTTAACTTTATGATCTCCGGTCTTAATCACACCCCCTTTTAATCCCCCCCCCATTTCTCTGATTCTTACATAGCTCAGAAATACAAGCACACCTTTATTTTATTTCCAGCCTCTGAATCAGTGCCCTCAGTGAGAAAGCTTGCCTCCCAGGTATGGTCGAACTCAGTCTACAGGGGGTCGCAGATCCGGGTGCTCTGGACAGCAAAACTGCGCCACAGGAGAAGAGAGCAGGGAAAGGAAGGTTTTGATGCAGCTCCGACCATAATCCCGCTACTCGCCTTCCTCCCACCTCCTCTCCCCCCACCCCTCACCAGAAGGAAATTTCCATCTCCCATCCAGTGGCTGAATAAAATCCAAAGCGACCCCACCCCCGCGCGTTTAGCTCCCCCCTCCCCCCTCAGTTACAATCAGCTGCACTGAATTCAAGCTCAGATGCAGTTTTGAGGGGCTGCCATGGAGAAAGAGAACGGAATCTGGACACCCCCACATTGAAGGGGTTCAAGCCAACGTGACTCCTTCTCCTCCGCCTTATGTGGCCCCCCTCCCCCTTTCCAATGCGTGCAAATCCTACCCAACAGGCAGCGTCCAGGTGAACCCCACTTGTTCAGCATAGCCCGGTCATGGAAATACTCCTTTTTCAGCCTCGAAATCACTGATTTTCCAAGCTGGAACCACCCTGTACTGGTGGAGTTTAATCCCTCCCCCCTCTGCACCCGGGATTCGCGTTCCTTTTCTTTACCTAGGCACCGCAAGTGAGGAGCGGATGCTCTGGCGCCGACAGCTATGGATTCCTCCTGCTCGTCTCCGAGGCCCTACAGAGGAAAACGATGAGCTCAGACTCTGCGGCTAGCGACCGAAGGTGGCCAGAGGAGCCGCTTAGCAAACTAGCCCAGAGCCACGTAGCCCTGGTGAGACTGCACGGTTCCCAAGGCAATGGAAGCTGCTTTTATCCCCCACCCAGCTCAAGAGCGTGACGAGCGGGCCAAAGAGACCAATCAGTGGAGCCGGGGGCGGGCTCCCGTCTTGAGGAGGGCCTGTCAGAAGCAGGAGGAGCTGGAGTGCGGGGAGGAGGGGGGGAGGAAGAGCGGCGTCCACTGCCGCTGCGTCTGAAGGCGGGAGACAGTTTGCAATTCTCCCTAGGGTTTGCGACTGTTTCTCTTTCCCTCCTTTCTTGCATTGTCACTCCCTCCCCCTTCTCCTCTCCCGTCACTTTGGTTCAATTCAGTGGCTGGTGGCCATGTGCATTCATCATGAGCTGGGGCCAAAATCGAGAGAAGCCGTGGAAGTTCCTCACCTTTGTGTTAGGGGAAGAAGAGAGAGAGTACTACCTTGTGAAGGAGGGGCAGTGTGTCCAATTAACAGGCGATTTGGAGCACGGTAATTTTTGCCCTATCATCAGTCAAATATGAGTGCAAAACTGGTTGCATCAGGGTTATTTGGGAGAGCTAGTCACAAATTCAGGTTCCTGGGCGCCATCGCTGGGAAATTCTCTCTGAGATGTAGAGAGATTAGTGAAAAAGTAAAAACGCCTGTTTGCATTGTATCTATACATATCCGTGGTGAAATGCCACTCCTGAGGAGCTACTCTTAGCTGGGGCTTATAATCTTCCTGAAATTGTGTGCTAAGATTTTGGACTTTATAGCAGGCTGAATACTGGCCACCGAATATGTCAAGTTCTTGTCCCTGCAACCTGTAAATGGTACCTTATAAAGCAAAAAGGTTTTCACAGATGTGATGAAGTGATGGTTGTTGACTTAAAGAAATTATCCATATGAGCCCTAAATCTAGACTCTGCTTTCTAAGCAGATTCTTATTCTGCATTTAACCGGCTCTGTCATCAAATCCAGTCCTCTGCAGTGAACCCTGATGGCTTTGCAAAGACAGAGACTAGGTCTCTGAAGCCTGACAACACATGTTGACTGTGGAAAGGTGCCTGCGTTGGATCATCAGGACAAGCCCAAGCCAAGGGCCCTTTGTGTAGGGGCTGGAGGAGCACTAGCTAAACTGGCAAGCAGGATACAGAGTATGCCTTATCCCTAGTCTCATGTTGCAGGAGAGCAGTTTGGGGCGAGAGGCTTTCCAATTGCAAGAATTTTTGCTCTGGTAAGAAGGCCACATTTTATTTTCCAGTTACAAAAATTAAACCTTAAAAGCCTGAAACTTACAAGCCAAAGATTTCAGTTAAAATAATAACTACGTTTGTTTGCCTTCCTCCTCTGTGCCAGGAGTTTTCCATCCTTTATCTCGTTTAAGGATCTCAGCAACCCTAGTGAGATAGGCATCCTTACCCTAGCAAAGGAGCCGGGTATGAGCTGGTGTCTCACACTAGAATTCTAGCTCTTCAGACGTCAAAGCCTAGATGGAGATACACGTGGCTCCCACCTTACTATGTTGTCTGATACTCCGAGAGCAGCATTGTGCATAGAAGTATTCAAAAGGACAAAGGAGATATTTGTAGACAGACAAAAACTGAGGGAGTTTATTACCAGCAGACTAAACTAAGGAAAACTGCAACTGTACTTCAAAAGAAAAATAGTATCGGAAGAACTAAATACAGGGGGGCTGGGGAGATGGCTCAGTGGAATAAGCGCTTCCCTGGCAAGCGCAAGGGTCTGAGTTCAATCCCCAGTTCTGCCAAAAATATAACAAAACAAAAATAAATAAATAAAATAAAGAACTAAATACAGGAAGGAATGAAGAGCAAAGAAAGTAGTGAAGTACTTGGGCAACATGAGTATGGGGAAAAGAATCATAAAAAATCTGCTAAATTTTTAAAAATAAAGCACTATGCAATCAAGAGGGGCATAAATAGAATTCAACTTTTCTTCGGGCATTGTGTATCATATCAGAAGTGATTTAGGTATTTATACTTTGTGGATATAATGTATTATAGTAATTAATAGGTTATGACTGTTAAGATAATAGCAACAAGATAGGAAATTCCACACTACTAGGGAAGAAAAAAGTTGAGTGGTTAACAAAATATTTATTTACTTATTTAGTTAGCTAGTTAGTTAATTAATTATTGGAGATTAAACCCAAGGCTTTAATGCCTACTAAGCACTCGCTCTACCACAAGCTGTGCCTCCTTGCTTAGTTTTTTTAACTCAGGAAAGGAGGTTAAAGAGACATAGGTGAGACAAATAAAAGCACAAAATAAAATGGTAGCTTTAACCCAAATATAACCACAGTTTTATTAAATTTTTTGAGGTTCTTTTTTTTTTTTTGGCGGAACCGGGGATTGAACTCAGGCCCTTGCGCTTGCCAGGGAAGCGCTTATTCCACTGAGCCATCTCTCCGGTCCTTAGAGATAAATATTGAAGTTAAAAACAAGTATCTAGTTTTCAATCCCTCGCTATTCTGCTGGCTGATATTGGTTGGAAGCCATCCCGCACATAAGGCAGAAAGATGGTGGCTGCAAAGAAAATGAAACAGTCTCTAGAGTTCATCAACTCTAGGATCCAACTTATTTTGAAAAGTGGAAAGTACATACTGGGGTATAAGCTCACTTGGTAAATAATCAGACAGGGCAAGGTGGAATTGGTCATCTTTACCAACAACTGCCCAGCTTTGAGGAAATCTGAAATCCAGTACTATGCCATTTTGGCCAAAACTGGTGCCCATCACTACAGTGGTAATAATATTGAACTGTGCCCAGCGTGTGGAAAACACTACAGAAAATTCACACAGGCAAAATCTCTGCAATATAGCTGTAATATATTTATAGCTGTAATATATTTTGAAGGCAACTTAGATCAACAAGTTACATTGTAAATTAGCTCACCTTTATGCATCTGGCATAACCAGTGCTTAAATACAAAATGATTTAGGGTTAGGGTTAGGATGAGGGTTAGGGTGATTCTGATACCAGTAGAAGCATGCCAAAACAGACTGGTGAAAAATAAACCATGAAATTTTTTTCATTAATAAAATTTGTCCTAACTTTTTTTAAAAAAATAAGCTGGATGAGATGTCAGATACCTTTAATCCCAACATTTGGGAGGCCAAGGAGGGAGATTGTTATAAATTCTGGGCCAGCCTGGGCTACACAGTGAGTTCAAGGCCAGTCTGAACTATGCATTGAGACCCTGCCTCAAAAAAACAAAGAAGTCAAAACAACAAAAAACAAATATCATCAAATGTAACTGCATGCAGTTTAAAAGACAAATTAAAAAGACAGGCTGACAGTAAAAGGGTGAAGGAAGAAAATTATGCAATTAATGTATAAAAGATAAAAAGATGTTTTATACCTTTAAGAGCATTATTGAAAATATGTTATTTTATAATGATAGAAGTTTCAATTCTCCAGGAATTTCAACAAATTCACATGATTATGAACTTACAGCAAAGCCTTACACAAATGCAAAATTATCTTACTAAAAGGAGAAATAGGCAAATGACAGAGTGGAAGGTCTTACCCCCATTTTTATCAATAGTAAATCAAGAAGGCAAAAATGTCTCTAAGGATAACTCTAAGAATTTTTTAAACAATATTACTAGTATATATTTTTTTTTTTGCAGAACCAGGGATTGAACTCAGGCCGTTGCGCTTTCCAGGCAAGTGCTTATTCTACTGAGCCATCTCCCAGGCTCCATTAGTATCTTGATTTAGTAGCTAATGTAAAGAATGTTGAAACAAACAACTGTAGTATACACACAAAGAACAGCCATAAAATTTGATCGTGTATTAGGCAAAAAGAAGTTCAATACATTTTCAAGAATTGAAGTCTGATCACACTGTAAATAAGTTAAAAATCAGCAGCAGATAGGTAAGTAGAAATTTGCAACAAGTTTAGAAACTAAGACACATATTCAGAAATAAGAGATGGACCAAAGAATGGTGATCATGGAATTTAAATTCTTTAGTAGAGGTCATAAAAATTATAAATGGTTATTTTTATGTACATAAAACTATAAATTTAATCTGATAAATAAGATTAGATTTTTAAAAGACAAATTAGTAAGTATGGATTAAATATGCTCAGAGTCATGAAGTACTAGAAATAGAGATTTTTTAATGAAATATGTTTATTTTTGAAACACTATGTAAGTTGCATTAAAAATTATGATATGACTTTTCAAATATAAAACTTGGAAAGATTTTAGAGGCTACCATATAATAAATCTAACTTAAATTTTAATGGTATAGAAAAAATAGCACAAGCATGCACAAGTTCCTTATTATAGAATCTTGAGTTGTCATAGTCTTTCTAATTTATTAGTTTTATTATACACTAATCTTTTTTTTCTTCAAAGTTTTATTGATAAACAGATAGCAATGAGACAGTTTCAAATCAAATCGGAAGTACACATTCAAGAAATAATACACTGCATATATTCTTTTTAGTGGTAAATTGCTGTCCAAGATGCAGACTTGTGATCCTATTTACAAACACCATTAGAACAAATCATTCTATTCATTAAGAGAATGAAACTACATATCTATCCCAACCACTTTGAATACACAGATACAAAATGGACATTCATAGGTATACACCATTTTTTCTAAGTTCCGTTATGGAATATTATAGGTGTGTAAACTCAGCAAAATATTCTAAAAGAGTCCAGTAGCCCATAATAGCATTGGGCTTCTGTTTAACTGGCAATGTCAAAAATTATTGACCTGAGTCCCCCACAGCTCAACTTAACAGCATGGCTTTATTTCCTATATTACGTCTTCATACATTTCTACTGGATGGTTAAGACCAAGGTAAAGCAGGACCTATGCAACAAGAGTTGTAGCTTTTTGGTCTGAGAAGGTCAGTGAAAT